TCAGGCAATCCATTCACCTCAGTCTCCCAAAGGCGCGGGATTACAGGCTGAGCCACCGAGCCCGGCTTGACCATGCATTTTTTATAAACCGCTACTTAAACTGATTTTGTTCATTTGGAATCTCAAAAAAGAAAAACCCCGGAAAGTTAAAAACACCTATTACTTATAATTCCACAACTAAGAATAAATCCTGAGTGTGTATGTGGATAGATACAGATATAAACACACACACACATAGAGATATACATTCCCTTGTCTCTCGGTCTCTCTTTTTTCCTTTAGAACAAGTGTTATATTTTCTTATAATTTTCATTGGAAAGCACACAAAAAATATCGAGACTAGAAATACCACCCAAAATCCCAGTCTGCCATGGCACCAGCTGTTAACTTTTTGTATTTCCTTCTAGTCTTTTAAAATTAATTTGCAGCATGCTTATTTTCTGACTGTGGAATGAACTAATGCTCTTTGTAGGCCACGTAAGAACAAAAATTAGAAAAAGTTACACGCATGCAGAAAATCCAAAAACTACTGAAAAGCATGAAGGAGACTTTGCTTTGACCCCCGGGACTCCAGCCTTCCTGCTGCGCTGCGTTCAGATCCCTGGTTGCCAAAAATGGAACATAGACAATATGGCTTCGTGATCGTGTGTGTTTTATATAAACATCTTTCCAGGCCGGGCGTGGTGGCTCACGCCTGTAATCCTGTCGCTTTGGAAGGCAGAGGCGGGAGGATCACTTGTGGTTAGGAGTTCAAGACCAGCCTGGAAAGGAGACCCCCGTCTCTACAAAACAAAATATTCATGAGTCAGGTGTGGTAGCTCATGGCTGTCATCCCGGCTTCTTGGGAGGCTAAGGCAGGAGAATCGCTTGATCCCAGGAGGTCAAGGCTGCGGTGAGCTGTGATAGCGCCACTGCCTTCCAGCCTGGGCAGCAGAGTGAGACCTCGTCTCTTAAAAACAAAAGAAAAGTTTTTCGGAATGTGCTGCCTGGGGAGGGCGGGCAATGATGGCTGAGGTTTGGAGTTAGAATGCAGGGGTCCTGGTCTAGCGCCAACAGGAAAACTGAGGCTAAAGAGCATTCCGAGCTGTATCTGCCGAGCCCGTCCATGTGGGGTGCTTTCCCGAACACTTCCTGCGCACCCGGCACGGCCTCACACGGCGCACTCTCGACCCCCCACTTTACAGCTGGGGAAACCGAGGCTGGGACGGCTGCTTTCCCAAGGCCACACAGGACTGGGCGGCAGAGCTGGCATTGGGCTCGCGGCCTCGGGGCTCCAAGTGGCCGGAGCTCTGGGGCCGTTCCCTGGTGCAGGGTCCACGTTCCTGCCTGTCCCAGGTCCCTGTGCGGATGGAGCCCGCCCCTGAGATGCATGTTTCTCTGCACCATGGGGGCAGCCCTGGTGCAGGGTGGGACCCCTCTGCTCGCAGCAGCGTCTTGGGGTGGCTGGAGAACAAAGCCCCCGGGTCCTCGGAGCGGACCCAGCGCGAGCCCAGGACAGACTCGCACGAAAATGGCCCTCTGCTGCCCCCTGGAGCCCAGAGTCTGAGCGCCTGGATCGCGTCTGCAGGTCCCAGCGGGAGCCAGGAACCCCGGCCCCCAGCCCCAAGGCCCAGCTCCCCACCCGCCCGGTGGCCTTCCTTGGCTGGGCTGCTCTGCGGGCAGGGGCCAGAGTGGGCGGAGGGGAGGAGCACGGCCGGAAGAGGGGCTCCCGGAGCACCCCATCAGCTAGAGATGCTGGGGCGGGGGGCATGGAGTCAGGGGTCAGGAACACTCACGGGTGCAGACACACACACGTGCACACACACACACTTACATCACCCCATGTTGACACATGTTCACACTCTATGCACTTAGATGCACACGCATACACACACCAGCACAAAGTCACGTGCATACACAATCACACGTGGACACACGTTCACACTCTCACACAGACTTATACGCGCACACACACACAATCACAGGTTCACACGTGTTCATACACTTGTTCGCACACGCACCTACAAACTCACACTGATACATGCACTTGCACACTCCCATGTTCACATACGTTCACACTCACACTCTCACACACACTGGTACACACTCGCAGACACACATGTGCACTCACACTCTCTCACACTTAGACCAAGATCGGCTTGGAAACAGCTCTGGATTTAGAAGAATCCGAGTTTCATCAATATCTGATCATTTAAAATAAGAACTGATAGAGAACCCAGAAATAGACCTCCATAAATATGCCTGCCAGGTTTCTGGCATCGATGAAAACATTTACCTGAAGGAAAGATGGCCTTTTCATCCTATAAAAAGGAGCATCGGCCTCAACCTCATACCTGATCCAAAAAGTGGCTCAAAGGGGTCACAGACTTCCATGTAAAAAGTGAAAATAATAACACTTCTACAAAAACCATAACAGGAAACAGTAGGGCTCTGGGGCTGGGAAAAGAGTGAACACTAAAAGCACAGTCCCTAAAAGGAACAGTTGACAGATTGGGCTGCATCAAAATGAGGCGCTTTTGCTCTGGGAAACACGCTTGTTAAGAAGCTGAAAGACCAGCTTCAGAGTGGGAGGAAGTCCTTGCAAACCACACACCCAGCGAGGACTAGTACCTAGTATATATAAAGAACTCCCAGAAGTCAACACAAGAAAACTAACCCTTAAATAAGAATGGGCGACAGACGTGCAGAGACAGTTCAGATAACAAACAAGCCCATGAAAAGATGTCCCACCCTCGTTAGTCAGGGAAGTGCAAATCCACACCCCAGTCAGACATCACAGTGCACCTGTCAGGATGGCTCCCATAGAAGACTGCTGGTGAGGATACGAGAGCCCGGAGCCCTTACACTGCTGGTGGAAATGGAGAGGGACGGTCATTCTGGAAAAGAGTTGAGCAGTTTCTTGAAAAGCTGCACATGGGCCAGGCTCGGTGGCTCAGCCTATAATCCCAGCACTCTGGGAGGCCACGGCAAGTGGATTGCCTGAGCCCACGGGTTTGAGACCAGCATTGGCGACTTGGCGAGACCTTGTCTCTACAATAAATGAAAAAATTAGCCGGGCGTGGTAGCACACGCCTGTAGTTCCGGCTACTTGGAAGGCCGAGGCGGAAGGATCGCCGGAGCCCAGCAGGTCGACGCTGGGGTGGCCGTGAGTGTGTCCCTGCACTCCAGCCTGGAGAACAGAGTGAGACTCCAATTCAAATACAACAAAAAAAGAAAGAAAGAAAAAAGCTACACATGCAGCTGCCACAGGACCCAGCGACTACACGTGGGCATTTATTCAGAAAAATGAAGACTTGTGCTCACACAGAAACCTGAATGTAAATGTTCCCAACAGCTTTATTCATAAGGGTCAGAGACTGGAAACCACCCAGGCATCCTTCGACAAGTGATGGTTAAACTGTGGTTCACATGTGAGGTGGGTACTGCTTAGCAGCAAAAAGGGCTGGATTATCCATAAACCCACAGCCAACATATTGCTAAATGGACAGAAATTGGAAGCATTTCCCCTGAAAACCAGAACAAGACAAGGCTGCCCACTCTCACCTCTCCTGTTCAACATTGTGTTGGAAGTCTCAGCTTGAGAAATCAGACAAGATAAGGAAATCAGGGGTATCCAAAAAGGAAAAGAAGAAGTCAAGCTATCCTTCTTTCCTGATGATGTGATCCTATACCTCAAAAATCCAAAAGAATCTGTCAGAAACCTCCTGGCACTGATAAAGGACTTTGGCAAAGTCTCAGGGTACAAAATCAATGTGCAAAAGACGGTCAGATTCTTATACACTAACAACAAACAGGCAGAGAACCAAATAAAATGCACAATCCCATTCACAATTGCTGCAAAAAAATGAAATTCCTCGGCATTTTCCTAACCAGAGAAGTGAAAGAACTTTATAATGAAAATTACAAAACACTTCTCAAAGAAATCAAAGGTGACACGAACAAATGGAAAAATATTCCATACTCATGGATTGGAAGAATCAACATTGTTAAGATGTCCATCCTACCAAAGGCAATGTACAGATTAAACGCAATACCCATTAAATTACCAACATCATTCTTCTCAGACCTGGAAATGACAATACAGAAATTCATATGGAAACATAAATGACCACAAACAGCCAAAGCACTCCTTAGCAAAAGAAATAAAGTGAAAGGTATCACACTTTCAGACTTTAAACTTATAAGGCTACAATGATTAAAGCAATCCGGTATTGGTACAAGAATAGGCATATAGACCAATGGAACCAGATAGAGATTCCAGAAGCAAAACCTCAATCTCCCAACCAATTCACCTTCAACAAAGCCACCAACAACAACCACTGGGGAGAGAACCTATTCAGTAAGTGGTGCTGGGAAAACTGGCTGACCACACGCAGAAGATTGAAACAGGACCCCTACCTGTCCCCACACAAAAATCAACTACAAATGGATCACAGACCTAAATGTAAAACCTCTAACTATAAGAACCTTAGAAAACGCAGGAGACGCCCTTATGGAAATTGGAACTGGCAACCAGTTCCTGATCAAGAGCCCATGCCATAAGAGATAAGATAGACAAGTGGGACCTCATCAAACCAAAAAGCTTCTGCAAGAGAGTGGAGAGACAGCTCACAGAATGGGAAAAAATATTTGCCAACTGCATATCTGTCAAAGGCCTAACATCCAGAATCTACAAGGGACTCAAACATGCCGAAAGGAAAAAAAAGCCTCATTCAAAAAGTGGGCAAAAGACGTGAATAGACACTTCTCAAAAGAAGACAGACAAGCAGCCAACAGACACAAAAAATGTTCAGCCTCATGAATCATCAGAGAAGTGCAAATCAAAACCATGTTGAGATATCACCTAACCCCAATAAGGATGGCCATCATTAATCACTCAAAAACAACAGATGCTGGAGAGAATGTGGAGAAGAGGGAACGCTTCTACACTGTTGGTGGGAACACAAACTAGTTCAACCTCTATGGAAAACGGTGTGGTGATTCCTAAAAGAACTAGAAATTAACCTTCCATGACTCAACAATCCCCCTTCTGGGAATATACCCAGAGGAACTTAAATTGCTCTCCAAAAAAGATACAAGCACACACGTGTGTTTATTGCAGCACTATTCACAGTAGCAAAAACATGGAACCAACCACGCTGTCCATTGAAACTGGACTGGATTTTTTAAAAATGTGGTCCATAAACATGATGGAATGTTATGTAACCATAAAGAAGGACAAAATGATGGACTTTTCAGCAACTTGGATGGATTTAGAGTCGATCATACTCAGTGATGTATCACAGAAACAAAGAACTGAGTAGTACATGTTCTCACTCATGAGCGGACCCTGGAGATTTACCATAATACTCTGAGAAAGGGATAGGCAGTAGCCGGAAACTGCCGGGGAGGGGACACATAACATCAACAAGGGTGCCTGATCTCAAATCAGGCAAAGTGGGGACCAAAGGGAGGCCCAAATTTACCTGTATGGTAACCACTTGTATACCTAATCCTGAATTGCACCCCACAACTTTAAAGTTCTAAAAAAAATTCTTTTAAAGGAATGGATTATTGATCCAAGCAACAACCCGGGTGAATCTCAAGTGAATTACGCTGAGTGAAAAGAATACTCCCAAAGTATTCCACGCCGTATGATTCCATTTCTGTAACACTGGTGAGCTACGGAAAGAGAGAAAATTATGGAAAATTATAATCAAAATTATAGAAAGGGGCCAGCACAGCGGCTCATGCCTATAATCCCAGCACCTTTGGGAGACTGAGATAGGAGGATCCCTTGAGACCAGGAGTTCAAGACCAGCCTGGGCAACATAGCAAGATTCTGTCTCTAAAAGAGTTATAGCATTAGTGGGCGTGGCGGCACGTGGCTGTAATCCCTTGAGAGATTATAATCCCTTGAGAGAGCTACTTGAGAGGCTGAGGCAGGAGGATCGCTTGAGAGAGGAGTGAGCCATGATCATGCCACTGCACGCCAGCCTGGGTGACAGAGTGAGACCTGGTCTCTAAAAAAGTAAATAAGTAGATGCTAGAAATGGCGAACATGTTGGTAGTTGCCCTGGAGTCAGGGGCAGATGAGGGAAGGCGGGCCAGTCCCCGGTGCTTCAAGTGTTCTATTTCTTCCTGTATCGATGTCCATTTTCTGGTTGTGAGACGATGGTTTGGCGAGACAGCAGCCTTGTGGGTGGGGTGGTCAGAGAGAACCCAGGATCACTCTGTAACGAGCCTTATATCTATCTCAGGATAAAATCTATGATATTTTTTAAAAGCACCCCTATTGAAAATGGATCTAAATGAAATATACCAAGATGTTAGCAGTGGGTATGATGGTGAGAATTGAGGTCCTTATTTTTCTTTTCTTTGCTGTTAGTCTAGATTTCTATTGTTCTCCTACATTGAGAATATACTAGACTTAAAGTGTTGTTAGGGAGAAAAATAAGAAGTTATTTTAACCAAGTAAAATGTGTAAGTAGTTAAACATGCATTCGTGTAGCCTCTTATAGGTAGACATACGAGGTCCCCAGAGAGGTGACACTCACCCAGGGTGGCCGGACCCCGAGTCCCGACTCGAGGTCACGCGTGCCTTCGGCTTCCCAGGATGCAGTGCAAACGAGAACACGTTAGCCCTGAGACCTTCCCCTCATTCCTCCTCCCGACCCCCGAGGCTGCCTTTTAACAGAGGGCGGTGGGCTGTGAGCCGGCTCCCGAGTTCTGGACTCCTGAGAGCCTCAGTCTTCTTTAAAATGGTCAGGAAGAAGGCCATGGTTCTCAGGTCCCCCCGGAGGCCGGAGCAAACGACCACAGCCTGGGTGGCTTGGACAACACCACCCTCCAGGGCAGAATCCATCCCTACCGGCTCTTGCTCCCGGAGGCTCCAGGCACTCTGAGTTTGTGGCAGCGTCACTCCGGACTCGGCTTCCATCTCCACCAGCCCTCTCTGCCGGGCCAAGGACCCCGGGCATTGGCCTGCGGGCTCGCCTCAGCCAGTATGACCTCATCTTAGCCAGTCACATCCCCCAAAGGGCCTATTCCAATGAGGCCACGTTCTCACGTTCCTGGTGGGTACAGATTTGGGGGGACACCCTCCAACCCACGACCCCTTATTTGCGGAGGAAGTTAAGTGAACCTGATTTATGTAAAAGTATCCGATCCACTTCTAAGAGTTGGCAGATGTCAGCTAGGAAGATGACTAATGGCTGGTAGGAATCCCACTTTCCTCCTGGTCACTGGGACTCAGTTCTCCGGGTGTTTCTGGTGGGGGGAGGGGACAGCAGGAAGGGATGGGCGTGGGGAGAGAGGGGAGAGGGAATGTGACCACGGTGAGAACTCTTTCTCGCCTTAAAGTTGAAAGAGCCACCAGTTTCCTTCGCTCAGTTTCCCCGACTCTGAGGAAACACGGTGACGGGGAGGCAAGTGTCCGTGGCAGGACGCGCACAAGGTGACAACAGCCATTGCGGGGGATCCCTGCCAGGGGGTCACCCCCGCTGCTGCCGGCAGCTCCTCTCTGTGGACCCTGCCGTATCAAAGCATCAATGAATGAGATAGAAGAGAAATCCCGGCACCAGTGTCTAGAAGGGAGGCCATTTTCTTTCCGTCCTGGAAGACTATTTAAGCGTCTTCCAAGCTGCATCCGCTGAGTTGCATCGCCGAACTCCTGGGAAGCCCCTCCTCACCCTCCAGCCCCCACAGCCTGACTCAGCCTCCCGGGTCCCCCTCGGCCACTCTCGACCCCTTCCCTCTCGGCTGCTGGGGAGACTGTTCCGAAATCTCACCCGCTCGTAGCCCGCTGATCAGACCCTCTCTGGCGGCCTGTGTCACCCCACGCTCCAGGCTGGAATCTCCCAGAGGCAGAGCCCAGTCACTTCGAGGGTCGGGTGGGGGGAGGCACACCGACCCCTCAGCTTCCGAGCCCACACCGAGCGGCCGCTCGGGGTTTCCCTGCAGGGTGATGTCCTGACCACCAAGTACCAGGTAGACCTTGGCGATGGCTTCAAGGCCATGTATGTGAACCTGACGCTGACGGGGGAGCCCGTCCGGCATCGCTACGAGAGCCCGGGCATCTATCGCGTGTCCGTTAGGGCCGAGAACGTGGCGGGGCACGATGAGGCGGTGCTCTTCATCCAGGTCAACGGTGAGTCCACCGGCCACCGAGGCCTCTTCGCGTCGCTCCCTGTGGCCGAGGGAACGGGGTCCGTGGGAGCACGGGGAGTCCCTCGGGGCTCCCGTGGGCTCCCAGGCCTCAGGATGGCAAGGAGGTGGGCTGTGCTCGGTCCACAGCCCTGAGGCCCCGTGTGCGGTAGGGTGGTGCTGGGGAAGATGATGACGGTGGTGGTGGTGTGTGGTGATTACGGTGAAGATGGTGTGGTGGTTGGTGGCGATGGCGGTGGTGGTGGAGCCTGTGCCGGCAGTGACAGCATGAAGCTGGTGGTGACGGCGACCGAGAAGCAGCCCCTGTCGTGCCCCGTGCCCTGTTCCCCTAACGCCGGCCTCTTGGCCTCTGCAGCGCCCCTGCAGGCCCTCTACCTGGAAGCGGTTCCCATCACGGGCGTCAACCGGGAGGTGAACCTCACGGCTGTGCTGCTCCCGCTGAGCCCCAACCTCACCGTCTTCTACTGGTGGATCGGCCACAGCCTGCAGGTGCGCCTCCCTGCAGAGCCCCACCTGGGTGCCCAGGGCCGACGGGGCACAGCCCCAGGGACCCAGCAGAAGGACGCAGCGTAGGATGCACTCCCGACCCCTGGGAGCCCTGGGGCAGCTGAGAGGGCACTTCCTTCCCTCCACAGCCACCTTGGGCCTGCGGCCAGGGTCCGTCTGCCCGAGGCACAGGCTGCACTGGACTAGAGCCTGCCTCCTCCAGGGAGAGAGGTGGGAACAGAGTGGTTGGCCCCAATTAGGCTGTGACCAGAGTCACAGGAGTGTGCAGGCGAGGTGTGGGGGGCTCCCGGGAAGGGGAGGCCATCTCTGTTGAGGTGGGCTCGGGGGAGGCTTTGTGGAGGCGTAGACCATTGGGGCGGGACCAGACCTTGGAACTCGCTCTGAGGTCTGGGTTGTCCCTTGAAGCACTGGGGAGCCCTGGGCAGATCTTGAACAGGAGAGAGCCCCTGTCCGCAGAATGCTTGGTCAGGGACAAGGCTGTCCATCCTCAGACAGGGGGGCGGCGGGAGGGACCCAAGACCCCGAACAGGGCACCCTGAGCTCACTCGGCAAGCAGCAGCCCCGCCCCCCACGCAGAAAGCCCCCCGGCAGCCGCGAGAGCCCAGGCCCGGAGGTCAGGGCGAGGGAGGGGCTGCAGGCTCTGGATTCTCTTTCCCTGAGCAGGGAGGGTCCAGGAAGGCGCCAGGGCTCCGGGTTCGAGTCTGCGTTGGGCCACTTCTGGCTGAATGACCCGCGCACACCGCTCCCCTCCCGGAGCCTCTGTCTCGCAGCCGCACCCACGAGGGAGTGGCTTTCCTGTCCCAAGGGACACCGCCGCCCACTCAGCGGCACCACCCCAGTGGGAGTCCTGAGCTGGGTGCAGGCATGTGACGGTGCCGCAGCTCGACCACGGTGGCGGCAGCCATCTGTGAGGACAGGAGAGGACACGGGCCAGGGAGTGGAGGCCCAGCCCGTGGCCATCCTGGGCTCCTGACACCCCCGTGAGCCATCGGGAGGCGGGCCACGGGGGCCGTGTGTCCTAGGTGTGGCCGGCATGCCCCGCGGGCCGGCCCTGACCCCCTCCTGTCCCCGCAGCCCCTCCTCTCCCTGGAGAACTCTGTGACGACACGCTTCCCGGACACGGGGGACGTGCGTGTGACCGTGCAGGCCTCCTGTGGGAACTCGGTGCTGCAGGACTCCAGGGTCATCCGCGTGCTGGGTGAGTGCTCCCGGCCAGCGCAGCCTCTGCGTCTCCACCTCCATCCTGGAGGTGGGGCCGCGTGGGGCACGTAAGCCACGGACGTCCCGGGCACGTCCGGGGCGGCCCTGGGTGGGCAGGGAGGGCCTGGGTGAGCACAGCCCTGTCCTAGCTATGTAACCTCGCCAAAGCTCCCCGCCGCTCTGGCCTCAGCTCCCCATCAGTAAAACAATACGATTCCCGTGCCCCATGGCGGCGCTGGGGCACGACGCCCGAGTGAGGCCATTGCGGGTGCCTGGGCGAGGTCCCTCGGGTTTGGGCTCCAGCTCTGTCGTCGCCCTCCCCTCACCCAAGGATTGCCTCGTGGTTCCGTTCCAAGAGGAATCCCCTCTGTAGACTGTGTCGAGACTCCAGCTCCGAATCTTTCTGTGCTGACTGGGGGCGCTCAGCCCCTCCTGGGAGGCACTGGCAGTAGAAAGCTGGCCTGAGACTGGGGAGACCCCCCCCAGCACACCCTCACCCCCATCGTCACACCATAAAACCCTCACGTTGCTGGAAGGGCAGCCTCCGTGGAACTACGGACAGCAGCCATCAGTTAAATGTCCGGCGGGGCCAGTGTGCCGAGGGCTGCCCTTGGCTGTCCCTTCGTTTGGGTCTTCGTGCTGAGCCAGTCGCTTGGCGGTAGTCGTCACCACACGCACCGTAAGATGTTGAGCTCGCAGAGCGTGGGTTCCTCGAGCCTCCCGGCCTTCAGGGCCTCTTCTCGCTTCACGGCGGAGAAAACAGGTTCGGGCGGTGAATGGGGAGGTTGCCGTTAGTCCCGGGGCTTCCAAGTCACGCTGTGAGCCACAGACCCCGGGAACTGTGGGGGAATGAGAAGAAGAGGCGGCCTCGGCTCTGAGGAACTCTTAATTTGGTGGGGGGACCAGCCCAGCTCAAGTTCATGGGTCCCTGAGGGAAGAGAGGCCGACCTCGGGGGTGGGTTCATCCTCGTGAGTTACGGGGCGGGGGGAGATGTCACTGAGCAGCCTGGGTACACGTGAGGCCCTCCCTCCGAGGTCACTGCCACCGTCCTTATCACCGTCACGGTCACCATACTTGCTGTTGCTCCTCTCAGGAGGCAGCCAGGGAGGGAGCGCGGACCTGGAACCCTCGAGATCAGGCCTGCTCTGGCCCGCTGGCGCCGGGGGCTGGGCCTCTGGGCTGCAGGCCCTGAGCCCAGGGGCCACCCCGGACCAGCCGGGGCGTGTGACGGCACTCCTGGACCCACCCGCTCTCCCGCCCCGCCCCGTTCCAGATCAATTCCAGGTTGTGCCGCTGCAGTTTTCCAAGAGCCTGGATGCCTACAACCCCAACACGCCCGAGTGGAGGGAGGACGTGGGCCTGGTGGTCACCCGGCTGCTCTCCAAGGTGCCTGCCCAGTGCCTCCCCGCCGGCGTCTCTGCAATGCCGCCTCCGGGGCGGTGGGGCGGGGCGGTCTCCATGCACGTCTCCTGAGCAGCAGCTGTTTGCAGGAGGCCCTGCCGCTGTCCTCCAGCGGGCCGGCGTCCCTTTAAGGGGATTGTCCCTTATTCATGGACTTCTCTTCTGGGCCAGACCCTGGGGACAGAAGAATCAGACGTGCTCACCACCCTCAGGGAGCTCCCAGAGGGCAGCCATCCGTTGGGATGCCCAAGGCCCCTGGCGCCCCAGTGAGAGAAAGACCCGTCCCCTAGAACCACTCAAGGCTGTCACGGGAGGGGGGATCCCCTCCGATCAGGCTTTCCCTCATCCTGTGAATTTTGCTGGCAAAAGGGCCCTGGGCACTGAAGGATGAGTAGGAGTCTGCCAAGGAGAGGTGCATGGAGTGAGACGTCCAGGAGGCAGAGGGACGCGCACGAGCGGTGCCTCATGGGTCGAGGGAGTTGTGTGAGGGTGTGCGGCTGTGGCTGGGCCTGGGGGCTGGGGAGTGAGAAGGGCCAGGCGGCCGGGTTCGGCAGGGCCAGGCCGCAGGCCGGGAACGCCGTGTCGAGGAGCCCTGGCCCACCCGGCGTCCGGGGGGCGATCGCCAGAAAGGGACGTGCTCGCTGCCGCCCAGGGAAGGACGGACTGGAGCAGGCAGGCCTGGCCACGGGCGGCGGGTGTGGGGCAGGCAGAGCTGCAGGCGGGGGGTCCGGGACTCCGAGGCCCGGAGCGGGGAGGGGGCGTCCCTGGCCCCGACCTGGGTGGGGCAAAGGCGGCTTGCTGTGCCCGCAGGAGACCAGCATCCCCGAGGAGCTGCTGGTGACCGTGGTGACGCCCGGCCTGCCCACCGTGGCCGACCTGTATGTGCTCCTGCCCCCTCCCCGGCCCACGAGGAAGAGGAGCCTCACGGGCGACAAGGTGCGTGCCGCGGCCAGACCCTCCCAGGTCCCGCAGGGCGCTCTCGGCGGCTCGGCCCGTCCCGGTCTGACGCGGGCGGCTGGCCCCTCCACCTGGCGGCCTCCAAGGTCGCCGTGGCAGAGGGGGGGAGGGCGGGGGTGCTCACGCGCTCCCCGCCCCGTGTGGCTGGGGGCGCTGGTCGCTGCCCTGACGGCTGGGGATGCCGGGAATGGTGGGCGAGCCCCCTGGGGACACACCCAAGGCACAGGTTCAAGACGCAGCAGAACTCGGCCTCCGTGGAGTTGTCAGGGTCTTGATTCAACACCCTCACGGGGGAGAGAGGTCCTGCCTGTGACAGGCGTGGGAAGGGACGCCGGGTGAATCGCAGCGCTGGACACAACGAGGGCGGCTGAAATACAACACAGACAGTCCCAGGTGTTGGCGAGGAACGGGAGGGATCGGAGCCTCGCACGCTGCGGGTGGAGTGGTACAGCTGCCCAGAAAGCAGCCCGGCCGTTCCTCCGTAGCTGAAACCCGAGGGAGCACGTGACCCCGCGGGTCCACGCCTGGCGTGCCCCTGAGAAAAAGGAAGACGTCCGTCCACACTGAGACGCGTCCATGAGGTCCGCAGTGGCGTTACTCGCCGTCGCCAGAAAGTGGACGTGACCCGCCTGGCCATCAGCTGCGGAGTGAATAGACAAAACGCCGTCTGTCCGCAGAACGGGCTGTGCTTTGCCCACAAGAAGGGAAGGAGGCCCTGACGCCTCTGCGGCCCAGGTGGGCCTCGAGAACAGCGCACGACGTGGATGAGGCCCGTCACGCGAGACCGAGTGTCCCGTGATTCTGCTTCTGTGTCGTGTCCAGCACCGGCAGCTCCACGGAGAGGGCAGGCCAGTGGTCGCCGGGCCGGGGGAGGGAGAGGGGGAGTGACCGCCACAGGGCGGCGGAGCGGGGGAGTCCCCTGGAGGTGATGAAACCGGCAGGCGGTAGACCGGGGGGATGGCTGCACCACGTGGGGAATTCCTGGGAAGCACGGAGCGGTCGCATCAAAAGCGCAGATGTTCCATCCCTTGTGCGAAAAGGAGCGCGCGCTGGCCCTGCCTCCGCACCCGCCGTGGGGACCGGCACCCACTCCAGCCCGGAGCAAGACAGCACACGCCCAGCACCCCGTGGGAGCCGCGTCCCGCCGCACAGACGAGAGAAGTGAGGCTCCACGCGGCCGCCGTCAGGGAGGACCAGAGACGCACCGATGCAGTAGCATTTCCAGACGCTGACCGCGAACTCTCCGGCAAAGACACAGACTGATCCACAAAAAGATACCTAGGGACCAATTCAACCAAGGAGGCGAGAGACTTGCACACCAAAAACTGGGAAACCTTGAGGATTTTGAAGAGACAAATAGATAGAAAGACACGCTGAGTTCATGGGTCGGAAGAATTGATATCCAGACGGCCATACGACTCAAAGTGACCCCCAGAGCCCGTGCCATCCCGAGCCATATTCCAGTGACACTTTCCACAGACGTAGGGAAAAAACCCTAAAATCTGTACGGAGCCACAAAAGACCTGGAATAGCCAAAGTATCTTAAGCAGAAAGAAGAAAAACACGGAGGCGTCATATTACCTGATTTTAAAACACACTACAAAGCTCTAGAAATCCAAACAGCTGATCCTGGCATAAAACAGACATGTAGACCAGTGGAACAGCACAGAGAGCGCAGACATAAATGCATGTATTCAAGGTCAGTGAACTTTCAGCAAAGCTGCCAGGAGTGTACAGCAGGGACGGGACTGTCTCTTCAATGCACGGCGCTGGGGAAACTAAAACTCCACACGCAGAAGAATGGAAACCGGACCCTTGGCTCCCGCCGTGCACAAACGTCAACTCAGGACGGACGAGGGACTCTCTCGCAAGGCCCGAAACTGAGAAACGACCGGGGGCGCACAAGGAGCGCCACACGACGGTGGCCGGGGCGAGGGCGTCGGGGTGTGACCGCGGCCGCGCAGTGGGCACCAGAGATAGACACGTGGGAGGGCGTCCAGCGAAACCCCCGTGCAGCCGAGGAAGCCGTCAGCAGGGCGAGGAGACAGCCGGGGCACGGGAGGCAGCGTTTGCAAGCCGCACGTCTGACCTGGGATGACCAGCCGGAGTCGCCAAGGAGCCCGAGCCACTCAGGAGCCTGGACGCCAGTGAGCCGGCTACACAGCGGGCCGAGGGCGTG